GCGTAGTTAACCAACGCGTAGTAATGCAACGCGTGGTAATCTAACGCGTAGGAATCTAACGCGTGGTAATCTAATGCGTAGTTAACCAACGCGTAGTAATGCAACGCGTAGTAATTCTACGCGTAGGAATCTAACGCGTGGTAATTCTGCGCGTAGGAATCTAACGTGTAGTTAAAACGCGTAGTAATGCAACGCGTGGTAATTCAACGCGTAGGAATCTAAAAAGAATTATTGATACGGGGGTTTTTAATTAAAATACAGGATTGATATAATACTTAAATTCATCAATTTTTTCTTAGTTAAGTTTGCAAGTTGTTGCAAACATGTTGGATTGTAAAATTATGAATTATGACTTTGTAGTTATATAAGATACATTGAATATTAAAATTAAATTAAATAGTTAAATTAAAAATTTATAACTTTGTCACTATAAAGTTAGGTTAAGTTTGAGGTTATAAAATATAACTTAGAATTGTAAAATTTAAATTGAATAGTATATATATATATTTAATTTATCGCCTCATGACTAGAAAGTGAGGTTAGGTGTACTTAACACAGAAAATATACTTAACTTTATAAATGTATTTTAGTAATTATGTTTCAATAATTATGTTTCATCAAACCTAACCTAATCTTAGTTACAAAGTAACTAAGTAACCTTAGTCACAAAGCTATAAATTATCAATACATATACTATTTAATTTATCTTTTAAAACAAATACAATTAAAATGTATGTCTGCGTAATCCAATACGTACAATTAGCAAATTCAAAGAGAAAGAGCTAATTTTTTAATCTCTAGAAAATCACATTTGCAGCAGTATTTAAAATAAAACGTTTAAAACAACTTTTTTACGAAATTCGAATTAAAACGGTACATAATCTCCCAGCGGTTTATCGTACGAAAAATAAATGGTAGAAAACCCGTGAAGGGGCAATGAAATTTTTGAAGAGAGTAACACTTTTTTTTTTCAAATGCATACAAAATATATTGGAGAGTGTTTCATCTCTAAAAAATCACTTTTTAAAAACGTGAAATTGTTTTACACATCGCGTATATGCCGAATCTATCTATGAAAGAGCAAACAATGGTAAAAATTTCAGTTTTTTAGTTGGTTACAGATAGGTGGTGTTCATGCGAACGTTATAACATAATAAAACTTGTGTGCGATATTCCTCGAAAAGCGATATGAAATGAAACTGATCGAAGTATAATACTATTTATTGAAAGAAGAGCGATTACGTTGATAAATAAAATATTGAATGCGAAATTATATTTGTGTGATGAATGTGTTTATTATTGTAAGAAAATTATATAATTATTGAGGAGATATTTGTGAGAAGGGTGAGTTTAAGTTTATGGTGAAGAGGGAATAATTCTTTTTGGAGGGAGAGTTGTTTCGAGGGAGTTTGAGGACTTGAGGATTGGTACGGTGGAAAAGTTAGGGAATTAGGGAATTAGGTAGCTTGATAATTTGAGGTTTGGGTGAATGGATATGGGGGATTTGGGAATTAAAGCTGGAGAATATTAAAATTTGAGGTTATGAAATTATGAAAACCTAAATATGATATTTGGGAGTTGAAAAATTTGGAATTGGAAGACTTCGAGTTGGGAAATGTGGGAGTTGGACGATGTGGGAATTGGACAATGTGGGAATTGGACAATGTGAGAATTAGACAATGTGAGAATTGGACAATGAGAGAATTGGAAAATGTGGAAATTGGACAATGTGGGAGTTGGACAATGCGGATATTGGAAAATGTGGAAATTGGACAATGTGGGAATTGGACAATATGGGAATTGGGAAATGTGGAAATTGGACAATGTGAGAATTGGAAAATGTGGAAATTGGACAATATGAGAATTGGACAATGTGGGAATTGGATAATGTGGGAATTGGAAAATGTGGAAATTGGACAATGTGGGAATTGGACAATGTGGGAATTGGACAACGTAGGAATTGGACAACGTGGGAATTGGACAATGTGGGAATTGGGAAATGTGGAAATTGGGAAATTTAGAAATTGGACAACTTGGGAATTGGACAATGTGGGAATTGGGAAATGTGGAAATTGGAAAATTTAGGAATTGGGAAATTTGGGAATTGGAAAATATGGAATTGGGAAACATGGCAATTGAACTATGTGAAAATTGGACAATGTGGAAATTGGACAGTATAGAAATTGGGAAATGTTGGAATTGGAAAATTTGATAATTTGTCAATATGGAACTTCAAAAACAACAAATTTGAAAAACTACAAATTTAGCAACACCAAAATTCAAAAATTTATCACTCAAATTTTCCAAATCCAAAAATCTAAAATTACAAAATTACAAAAACCCAAAAATGACAAAATCTGAACATTGACCATCTCAATATTTAACATCAAAAATTCATGAAAGACAAAGTTTAATTTTATCACGAAGAAATCTCTTTCCAAAGAATTTTATCGCGATTAATAAAAATCGGAAAGTCAGAATCGTCGATCACGACTCCCTTCAAATTCAACATACCAAATGAATGCGTTGCTCAAAGTGTCGCGACAATATCGATCAAATTTTATTGCACGCTTAAAATTGCATTCTGACGGTAAAATAAAATAGGAACAGCGACAGAACGAAATCGTTCGTCTGCTGCAATATACTTTCTCTTCTCTGCAATTTCACGCGAAAACTAGACAGCTACGTTTATCAAGAAAATCTCACGAATTTTTAAACTCAATTCTTTCCAAAACGTTCGGACTAATTTTACCCGACAGTATCTTTTTTTTGGGGGTTGAAATTTATTTCGATCGATTCGCCGTCAAATTATAACCCACATATTCGAGGATTGAATCTATGAAAAGAACCATCGACCTATTGCATCGGTAATTATGAAAGCCATTGAAAATTTTTAATACTTTTACAAATATTCGGTGCTTTATTTTACTTTTTAGCGTGTCGTTTATATTTTGAGGGGATTTTTGGAAATACACGTAAATTGAATTCGTGATGAAGGCGGCTAAACGAAATATAGGTTATGTTTGTTTTTATGTACAAATGCACTGAACGGTTTCAATAGATTATTTAAGATAAATATTATAATATGTTCTTCAATAGTTGGAAGTATTGAATATGATATTGAAAATTATTAATATTGCAGTATTTGTTAATAGTGCAGGTGAATTTACAAATTGTCAAATGTTTACATTTAAAAATTTTGATATCTTTATAAATATTTATGTAATAAAAAATTTACGTGTACAAAATTTCGAATATACAAAATTCTCAAGATTGTACATTTTTTAACTTGCAAATTAAAGAACTGTACATTATTAAATTGTTTACTATAGAAACTCTTATTTAGTATCATTAAATAATGTGGTTATAAATTGTCAGACTATCAGATCTCAAAAGTTTTATGATTCAAATTTCAGAAGTCTCAAAAATTCGATAAATTACAAGGGCTACCAATATCAAAATCTTGCAGATATAAAATTCTATGAATGTTGAATTTGAAATGGCATAAATTACAAATTTCACAAGTCCCAAATTTTAAGTCCCACAAACCCTAGAAATATTACAAATTCTCACAAATTCCACAAACCTCACAAATCCTATATGCCAAATCCCACATATCCTAAATTCCACACATCCCAAATCCCACATGTTCCAAATTCCACACATCCCAAATCCCACAAACCCCAAATCCCACATATCCCAAATTCCACACGTCCCAAATCCCACACGTCCCAAATCCCACACGTCCCAAATCCCACACATCCCAAATTCTACACATGTCTCAAATTCCACACGTCCCAAATTCCACATATCCCAAATCTCACATGTCTCAAATTCCACACGTCCCAAATTCCACATATCCCAAATCTCACATGTCTCAAATTCCACACGTCCCAAATTCCACATATCCCAAATCTCACATGTCTCAAATTCCACACGTCCCAAATTCCACATATCCCAAATCTCACATGTCTCAAATTCCACACGTCCCAAATTCCACATATCCCAAATCCCACATATCCCAAATCCCACATATCCCAAATCCCACATATTCCAAATTCCACATGTCCCAAATTCCACACGTGCCAAATTCCACATGTCCCAAATTCCACACGTCCCAAATCTCACATATCCCAAATCCCGCATATCGGAAATTCCACACGTCCCAAATCCCACGCATCCCAAATCCCACAAACCGCAAATCTCACATCCCACAAATCCCACATACCCCCAATCCCACATATCCCAAATTCCACACATCCCACAAATCTCACATATCCCCAATCCCACAAGTCCCAAATCCCACAACCCCAAATCCTTACTCTCAAAACCCCAACTCCTCACCACACATCGAAACACATTAAACCCACACCATTCCCCTACCGCCCTCACTATCCCAAACCCCAATGTTCTCTCATCTCCCCTACTTCGAACTAACTCGAAATCTTCTCAACAATCGTTGAGCCGCAACGACGCGTAAAATACCAACAGTCTCCTCGAAACGACACCATCGAAGTCGGAAGTCGAACCTTAAGCCAGTTCCGGACTTTCGTAGCGATTAAACGTCGAAAAAATAATTCTTACCGTCGGCTCCACCTTGGACGACGACTCGTCCGAGCAACCACAGCAGCACATCCCTGGCGAGGAATTGAATCCTTAAAAGCGGTCGAGCTCCTTGGTATCCTGTCCAGGAGTGGCCTCTCTCACGGATGCGCCAGCTTCCGGGAATAAATTAAAACGGAAGTTCTTTAGAGCGGTCGAAAAAACAGTCGCGAAACAACTGTTCCGCGTGCTCGAGTGAAAAACGAGTGTTCGCGAGTGAAAAGCGTTATCGTAGGAGATAGGAGACAGATAAGGAGAACGGGAAAAATGAGCGCATCGATTTCCGAGCTAACGCCGGAAACGAAGGTTTCAACCCTATCGCGATTTTCTGCGATACGTGAGCGATCAATCGCATTATCGTCGGAGACGATGTTTATGCCGTTAATTGGATTTATCCTCTTATCGCGTGATGAGATCGCGTTAATTTGTTGATAATGAAACACGGAATCGATATGATTATTGTTTATACTCGAGATATTTTTCAAAATGTGGATAATTTTTATTGTTCAGGGAATTAGTGACGGGTTCTTGTAGCGATGGATACATTTTTTGAATAAATTTATTGCAAGAAAAATGCAATTTGATGAATGGAAAAATGTAGTTTATTTGATAAATTAATAGATGTCGGTAACGTTGAAATATTTATGATGTAGTTCGTGCAGCAGTGCAGTGATGGGTTAATAGTTACAAACGAACAAACTCGAATGTCAATACCATTGAAATAGCTATCGCTTTCAGATATCACGAGATACTAATATATATCAGGATTAATTCAGCAACTAATGGATATTACAAACGGACATGTGTAAATATCAATACCGGTGAAGCTGTCGCATATTCTTCTTGGTATTGACAGTGTATTGACATGTAACATTTACTTGAAAGTATGATATGAAAACTAAATTACTATTATATTAATTAATACTTCATAAGTGGTAAAAAATATAGAGTATTGGTATATCAATTTTATTGAAACATGCTATCACATATTATCCTCCTTGATATTGTCGATATGATATGTAACATCACTTGAAAGTACGATAAAAGTATTATTATTGTATCAATTATTATTGTATCAATACTTCATACTCAGATGTCATATTTTAATAAAAAATGTAAGATATGTTTAATACAATAAAATTCCCCGGAAGATAAATTATTAAAGAATTTAGAGAATAGTGTATAATAAAATTCACCATCAAATCTCAATAAAAAATGTAAGATACGTTTTATTATTGAGATTACCACGTTGCATTACCACGCATTGGAATACCACGCGTTAGATTACCACGCGCTGGAATACTACGCGTTACATCCCTACGCCTGGAATTGCCACGTGTTGCATTACTACGCGCTGGTTAACTACCCGTTGGATATTCATACGCTGAGTTACTACGCGTTGGATATCCATACACTGAGTTACTACGCATTGGATATATCTATCAAAAATAAAAAATGTAAGGTATGTTTAATACAGTAAAACTCCCCATAAGATAAATTATTAAAGAATCTACAGAATAGTGTATTATAAAATTCACCCTCAAATCTCAATAAAAAATGTAAGGTACGTTTAATACAATAAAAGCGTAGAATTACCACGCGTTGCATTACTACGCGTTGGTTAACTACGCGTTAGATTACCACGCGTAAGATTTCTACGCGTAGAATTACCACGCGTTAGATTCCCACGCGTAGAATTACTACGCGTTGCATTACCACGCACTGGAATACCACGCGTTAGATTACCACGCACTAGAATACCACGCGCTGGATTACTACGCGTTAGATACCTACGCGTGGAATTACCACGCGTTGCATTACTACGCGTTGGTTAACTACGCGTTAGATTACCACGCGTTAGATTCCCACGCGTAGAATTACCACGCGTTGCATTACTACGCGTTGGTTAACTGCGCGTTAGATTTCCACGCGTAGAATTACCACGCGTTAGATTCCCACGCGTAGAATTACCACGCGTTGCATTACCACGCACTTGAATACCACGCGTTAGATTACCACGCGCTGGAATACTACGCGTTACATCCCTACGCCTGGAATTGCCACGTGTTGCATTACTACGCGCTGGTTAACTACCCGTTGGATATTCATACGCTGAGTTACTACGCGTTGGATATCCATACACTGAGTTACTACGCATTGGATATATCTATCAAAAATAAAAAATGTAAGGTATGTTTAATACAGTAAAACTCCCCATAAGATAAATTATTAAAGAATCTACAGAATAGTGTATTATAAAATTCACCCTCAAATCTCAATAAAAAATGTAAGGTACGTTTAATACAATAAAATTCCCCGTAAGATAAATTGTTAAAGAATGTACAGAATACTGTAAAATTCACCCCCGATCTATAGTTTTCCTGACGTAAATTCATGGAAACAGTCTTAAAATACACTTCGACAACAACCAGTCACACTATCATAAATCGCTTTTCATAGTATCATGTCGTAATCGACAGATAAGCAAGCGATAATAAACTTCCACGATACAAAACACATTGTGAAAGAACCGTTCCAAGTATCCGTCATTTCAAACAGCGATAAAATCGCAAGGTAGAACGTAGAAAAAGAACAAGTCGATACTTTGGCTGTTTGAATGGAGTCACTAATTGCGAACGACATTGTGGATCGTCGAATAGAAAGCGTCCTAACGATCAGAATCTATCGCGAGAAAATATAATACAGTCCTTTTTTTTTTTTGCTATGCTAACCGAGCGGCGTCATTAATATTTTCCGAGACATCCTCTCGCTCGACGCGGGTCACGTCAGTATCGATCGATTAATCGAATAAGCCTGCACGCCACGTTGAAACGGCAGCTACGTAAGGTTCTGGGGAGATTGACATTCGCTGCGATGTTTTTAGCGAACGCGCATCGCAGTATTTTTAATGACGTTGGCGTAGGTTGGGATTTTTAGGGATGTGTGAGATATTGTGACAGTGGTGATGGGGATGGTGGTGGTGTTTCAAGTTAGGGGTGATTGTGAGGTGTGTTTGGGAGTTTAGGGATATTTGGAAGGGTGGGAGAAGGGATTTGGGGATTTAGGGATGGTTGGAAGGGTGGAGAAGGGGGTTTGGGGATTTAGGGATTTTTGGAAGGGTGGGAAAGGGGGATTTGGGAATTTAGGGATTTTTAGAAGGGTGGAGAAGGGGATTTGGGAATTTAGGGATTTTTGGAAGGGTGGAGAAGGGGATTTGGGGAATTGGGGATATTTGGAAGGGTGGAGATGGGAATTTGGGAAATTGGGGAATTAGGGATTGGGGAATTAGGGATTGGGGAATTAGGGATTGGGGAATTAAGGGATTGGGGAATTAGGGATTTGGGGAATTAGGGAATTGGGGAATTAGGGAATTGGGGAATTAGGGAACCGGGGTCAAGGGGACCGGGGAATTAGGGAATTGGGGAATTGGGAATTAGAAAATTTGGAATTGGGGTATTTGGAGTTGGGAAGCTTGGAGTTGGGAAGCTTGGAGTTAGGAAGCTTGGAGTTGGGAAATTTGGGATTCGAAGAATTTGTAATTAGGAAGCTTGGGGTTTGAAAGTTTGGGATTTGGGGATTTTGGGAATTGGGAAACTTGGAATTGGAACATTTGGAATTATGGAATCTAGGAATTTGAAAGTTTGAGAAAATCTGGAAACTGAAGTTCGTAAAATTAAAAATCTAAAAATAACCTTGAAAATCTAACAATCGAAAAATCTAAAAATAACCTTGATAATCTAAAAATCTAGAAATCTAAAAATAACCTTGAAAATCTAAAAATCTAAAATTAACCTTGAAAATTTAAAAATCTAAAAACAACCTTGAAAATCTAAAAATCTAAAAATAACCTTGAAAACATAAAAATTTAAAAATAACCTTGAAAATATAAAAATCCAAAAACCCAATAACCTTGAAACCCCCTAAATTCCACTTCAAACTACACAAGTTGCTATGTATTCATCCTTAAAATCACACAATAAACCACAGTGTACAAACACCATACTTCTCAAACCTCAGATAATTCCCCCAATTCCCTAGCTAGTTACGCCAATGATGAGTCTGTTCGCTCTCGTCAACGAAACATCTCACCGTTGATCTATAGAAATATTCGCACGAATCTCGAATACTCAGATCTCGACTATCGTTGCTTTTATTCCGAGACGGCCCATTGAAACTTTCGCTTCTCTCGATTAATCATCGTGATCGCGGTTTACGAAACAACGCCGGGCTAATTGAAAAGCGAAAATGGAGTAAACCGTGCACCGGAAGTGTTCTTTGTTCGGCCTTTTATGAGGAGTATCGATGCATCGTTTGTTCGCAATTAACGCTGAACGATAGGACGCTTCGGCCACGTGAAATATAACCAAATTGTTTCAACTATTCAATTATAGATTTTCTAAAAATATCTCGCTTTTAATTGACAGGGTCATCAATTATTTTTGCTGGATGAGAACATCGAGCGAGTTTATCTTGTTCAGTAATTTCAAACAATCGATGCTAAGTAATTGATATTATCTGAGTAATTAATATTGAAATTGCTGTGCCAGATTTTTGTAACTTTTTCAATTGACTGCATGTGTGATGCATGTATTATTTGAAGTTAAAAGAAGAATAATTAAAAACATTAATTGACAATGTGACTATAAATTGTATGTACAGAGATGATTTTATTTTATGGACGAACATTTTAAGAAAAATCAAGACATATTTTTAAAAAAGTATCTTAAGTTTGTAGCTTTGAATAAGAAATATACAAAACTGATCTTTGGATTGATTTTGTACATTCAATGTCTGATTTGAGGTTATGTTACAACCTGATCATGAATCATGGTCGCTTATAGTCTAAATATGATTTGTGATCAATGACCAAGTTTTGGAATATTTTTAGAAGGTTTCTAACAGTAAATGACAATAAATGTTCTTTAGAAAAAGTCTTAGAATAATGGAAATCATGTGTTAACGATAAAAAGAAATTTTAGCAGCATATCACAACAAATAGAGTATATGTATATGAGCATATGTAAAAATTAGGGAAAAATATGGAGCCATATATAAACAAAAAAAAACATGAAATTTAACAAGAAATTTAATCTATGCATCATGACGTAAAATAACA